AAAATTTGATAAATTTCAAATTTCTTTCTTATTTCATTCATCATGTTCCTTTTTGCCATCAGTGCAGCTGCCAAATTCTTTATCCACCACTAATCCGACCCTGCTGCTCCACGTAACTCCATAAGGTCGTTTAAACAAAACACACCCCTAGTGAAATATTTTTGAAACATACTTTTAACCAAAGCCAATTTTCAGTTTTACCCAAATGCTACGGTTATTACTACTAATTTGTATATTACCATCACTTACACATGGATTATTTGGAAGTAAGAAGAATGTAACAGTGGTTGGGCAACTGGACTGCGGTGGATCGCCATATCCTGGTGTCACGGTTGAATTATGGGACGATGACACATGCAAGTACCTTCCTTTGAAAAAACCAGTATAATGCAAATATTTTTGATTTTTTTTCTGGCTGTTTGCTTGGTTTACCGAAAACCTAAAACGTCCGGATTTTTATGGAGGATAAACATTAACTTCAGAGCATTGGCATTTTTGTTGTCTGAAGCAGACCAGCAATTTTAATTTAGCATGAATTAGCGGATTCAAAAACAGACATAACAAAAATTTTGCGCTCGCAGCATCTTCTTTTCACTTGCGTCTTACTGAAAAGTACTACTATTTTGTTTGGTCATTTTTTGTGTGTTTTTTATTCGGCTATCTTTTAATCTTTTAATGATATTCTTATGAGTTTCTTAGGTCTGCCACCCCTACTGTATTGGCAGTTTAAGTGTCATACTTTTGTTGTGTACGATCAATTTCAGTTAATTTTGATGACAAATTGGCTACAACACACACCGATCGTTCGGGAAAATTTCGTGTTTTCGGCGAAACTCGAGAAATCCGCAGCATTGAACCGTACTTGATTTTCAGACACAACTGTGATAATGGTCGTCATGATGTGGCAAGTTCTTTTCGCCGATTTTTCAATCTTTTTTTTGTTCTTTCAAGTTTTGGAACTGACAACAAGCTATCGGTTCCGCTTTCAGAGCTCAGAAATATCGAAAATGAGACGAAAAGTTAAGCAAGGGAGTTAGTTTCTCTTTCCGCCTCCGAGGCAAAATCCTCTCTAATACAATTATAACTATGCTATCAGTCGTAAAATTTCGTACTTCGCTCATTAGCCGAAGGCGGAATGCTTTCAGACTTGAAAAAAGTGTCGAAAAATATAAATAAACGCGTCAATTTCAATCAGTAGACGAAACTGGTGGGAAACACCATTTCATCGAAATTTAGGTGCCAAGATGTTTGCGCTACTAGCAAAGTCGTTTTGGTAGGACCTTAGATTAGAAACTAGTAGGCAATCAGGATTAAATGAACGGAAGCACTGCAATAAGGCTTTGACGGGCCATTGTGCCCAGTAAATTCAAAATCGTTGATTTGTAATAAAAACTTTTCAAATTTCGTAATAAAAATTTTTAAAATCGCAGATCACCTGTTAACAAAAAAAGGTTTTGAAAGTACTTCACATCAAATTCGATGCATATTAATGAACAGTTTTTGACCAGACCGTATGTGCGTTATAAGGAAGATCGTCGCTTCTCAGTCAGGTGATGAGACGTTTTTTTTGGAAGCAGCCCAAGTGGTTGCTCGCTTCCAGCGACAACTAGTAACCGGACCAATTATCTTCCTGTAGTTTCATTTCTTTCGAAGATTGCACAGAATATGTTGACAGGACACAAGGCATAATTAATTTCCTTCATCATAGTTCGAGCGTCAGCACGGAACTATTGATTACGAATTTTCATCTGGCGTTTAATAGTTGACAGACATTTGATAATTTGCGGCAGGGGAACATTCATAAATCATTTTAAGAAAGCGGGGATAGCACATAATTTTGCAGAGGTGCACGTACAAGGATCGGTATAACGTACCGAAAAGTTATCAAGGAATGACATATGAACTTGGCAAAGTTGACCTGAAGACAGCTACAGTGAAGCGATCAAAGAAGTGCTATTGATGTAACAATAAAATGCCAGATATTACCGCTTGAATGTTTTTACACAAAATTTTTTTGTGTTGACAATAAAAAATCTTTAAATTTTCGAAATTACTGATCGTTTTTAACAATTTTCTATGGTCTCACAAAGGACACTGGTTGACGCTGAAGAAATCACATGTATTTTCTTTGTTTTTCAAAAATCTGTGTTAGATCGCGGTTGAGTAACAGCGGCCTCGCACTTGTTTTTTGATAAACACGTTGACAGTTCGAGCACGTTTTTTAAACCGTTTACGTTTTTGCCTCAGCACAACATTCGAACAGAAAAGTAATTCTGGTAGGATGCAAACAGATCATTTGCTTCTGCCTGCACCTAAGCAACCTCAAAAGAAGTAGACGGAGGAAACTACTGCGGTGGAAGGATCCTTTCGAATAATTCTGCAAAAGCGAAACGCATAAAACATAGAAAAATTGACCAGATGCACTGAGTGGTGAGAAAAAAAGCAATGGCGAAACAACAGTTGAAGAATAACGAAGTAAGATTTTTGCGCTGTTTGAACAAATTTTCTAGATGTAATCCATGTGTTTTTGGCTCAAACTGAAAGTAGTGACACGTGAATGGAAAACGAAATCAATAGCAAAAGCAAAAGAGCCAACACTGTCTGCAATGGGAAGAATGATAAAGCAGGCAGTGCTCGTTTTATTACCATACGGAAAAAGTTTTGTCAAATAAATGATACATTTTGGTTTATGTGTTAAATTTTAGCCGATTGTGCTAAAATTTTAGCTCGGTTGGCTACTACAAGTATACAATGTCTAAGAGTGAGTGCTAATCGCACCTAACTGATGCAGAGCATATCTAGCTAGATGAAATCCAAAATGATTATATTTCCATTGCGCATTTTCCTTTTCTTTAACTTTTTTCACATCCAACGATTTCTTTCTGGAAACCTTCGATGAATTATGACATTCTTTCCGTGGAAAGAAATCCAGGCTTCCTCCTTTTGCTACTACGCCACAAACTGCTAAAAGCCTTGCAGATGTGATGTTAGCATTGCATTGGAAGGCTGGACCGCTGGGCTGTCGGGCCCTCGGCAAAAACTTTTCCTCTTCGTTAGGCGGGTAGGTGACGGTCTGCCAGTCTTTCGCCTGTAGACTTATAGACTCGTCAGGTCAATTAGCGTTACTCCAGAGATTCTGATTAATCCTGATTTGTTCGACCTGTTCTTCGTTCTTCTATTACCCGATGATTTTTTGACTTCCATTTTCTGGTGAGGAGTGAGAGTTTGACAAGTAGCACCAGCTGAGTTGCTGTTACATGATAATCTATTTCAAGCTTGAGCTGCTTTATTTTTGAACACCAGTTTTGTAGTTGGTATCTTTTATCCGTTCCTACGAAACCGATTGAAAATTTTACTAGTCTACACTTGCTGCTCTTGCAGGTAATTCACAATTGCCTTCACTTATTCTGGAGTGAAATATGGGGGCAAACATAACCTTATTTTCGGATATTTGATTTTATGTAATACTGCTATCACGAATTCCACAAATCTTTTGTTTTTGTAAGAAACAGGACGTATGAGACATTAGCAACAATTGTTTGGTTGATTTTGCTATTTGCTAACGTTTCAAACAATTCATTTTTTTTTTCAAGATCTGGAACTGCATTTTTTAAACTGCATTGAAAAGTTTGTCACAAAAAATTTCATTCTCACCTGATGCTCCGTTAAATTTAAATACGCAAATTTATTGCGTTCTCTTCATTGCAGATACAGACATTTCAACTTTGACATTGACGCGCAAGCCTCAACTACATAGAATTTTTGCAAAAAGATATGCAAATTTTTTTTTTGTTTGATATGTAGATGGAAATACACTATAAAAGGGCATTGCCGTATCGAATTGGAAGAGTTTTACTAGTTTGTACTCGGCTGTAGGCGGTCATTCATTCACACTCCGAAGTCTAGCGTCGTCTCGAGAATTTAACTCGTAAATTGCTGGAAGGTTAGCTATTGCGAACATTTTTTAGCAGATAAGAAAACCAAGCGAGAATGTGGTGCAGCAAAAATGTATGGCCTTCGTGTTCTGAAATTTTGCCTACTTTAAACTTTGTTGCGCATAATGTCTATCTAGACTACTAAAGTGGTCGTCTCATGTCTTACATGATCGTCTCGCAGACAAGACCGGCATGCGAGAAGAATCAGATATAGCCATCATTCCTATCTATTTATAACTGCGGCCACTTTCAATGGCAGAGCATTGTAACGACTTTCGGCATTGCTGCCTTAATAATTAGTCTCATTAATTGAATTAATCAGTGATGCAGAATTATTATAATGCATATGCTCAAAAATCGTGGTACTTTGATCAGCAGTTATTTCATCACGAGGAGCCTTATTCAGCAGCTTAGCTGGTCATTCCTCGAGACGAAAATGCCAAATTAGTTGCATGTTGTGTATCGCTTTATTTAGCGAATTGAATAGCTGTGTTTCCATGTTTCTCAGGATGGCTGTGTCTATATGAAAAGATATTGTAATCCGTCAGTGGAGTCTGAGTTTTGAATGAATTTGGATTCAGAAGAAAGCTAGAAGGGCTCAGTAACTGTAAAGAAATTACAGAATTACAAAGATTACATTTTTAAGACCAGCAGGATCATCAGAACAGTAAGATATTTCAACTTTTTTCTCCTCGAACTGTGCCATCAACACAGCGAAGATTACGCACTTCTCATTAGTGCTGCTAATTGGGAAATAGGGGATAATCTCATGTGCAGCTAATTAAAAAAGGAGATATTTTTTCATCGCTGTGTTTCGCCATCAACATTCTAAAATTGCCTTCTCAAAGGCAAAAAGAAGACTACTTGAACAGATTCTGTGTTACCAACTCAAACAGTCATCCCCATTTCCAGTGTTTAACTTTGGCTAATTTCTTAAACTTACTCGACCTGAACTAAACTCAGGCTAAACACTATGATCCACCGCAGCGAGATCAAAACTCTCGTAGTCTAACTTGTTATGCCTGATTGCAGTTTTATTGGAATTTGTAATGAACAAAGCGAAAAATGTCGGATGGCAGTGATGAAGAGGAAGCCGTTGAAGAAGAAGTAGCGCAGGCAGCTATTATACCTCCGTCTTATCGGGTTACACTCCAGATCGATTATGAAGAAGGCGAGCCGGTATTTTATTCGCTTCATTTTTGGCTCCCTGTACTCAGAAAAGACCGAATATTGATGCATGGTGCTTAACTGGCTCTTGATCCAATACTGTTGACGCTAAACGAGAATTCAGAGTCAAAACGCAGTCGCCTCGAGCCCAGCCCAATTTGGCCTCAAAAAAATATTATAATCCGGACAAAAATTTATTCGATCCAACACAACACTGCCCATAGAAAAGGGCAAATAAGGGTATTTTTATTATGAGAGATTTCGCCCTCATTTCTTAGACTACTTTATAAGAGTAGCTGTATCATTGCTCAAACGGATTACGATTCGGCAAATAACAAATTCGGCTCATTGTGTAAATTGGCCATCTTGCGGAAATATTTGACACACAGCTTGCCCATTTCCGCGCTTACAGATCCGATGACAGTTCGGATCATTCGGCCACCTTACGTAATTCGATAATGCCTCGTATCGGCCCCAGATACTCCATTTAATTTTCATTGCGCATTCTCAGCTGATAAGCTTGATACGTCGCGTTATTGTGGCGTTAAAGGGATTATCCTCAGGCTAACCCCAACTATTCGATTTCACTGCTGAGGAAATCAGTCAGTGATTCGCTTTTGTAGCAGTCTAATGTGGATTCAGCCAGGGCCCATGAAATTACGAAAGTGAGAGCTATCCAAAGTGTTGCCAGCAGTGCCTAGTGGCAAAGTGCTTTTGTTACTTATTCATCTCGAGGCCCTCATCTCTTGAACAAGGTGGAGTGCAAAGGCCTTTTCAACTTAAAGCACATTTTTGTCAATGTCGTTGAATGATATGTCAAATCAAGCTAAATCCGAGAATTGTTTTTGTGACAATCGCATGAATCCTAAAAAGTTAAGCAATCGTAATGAGGCCACAAACCTCGTGAAAATTGGCAAGAGATGTCGGAAAAAATATGAAATTATCTTTAGTATAGCTGTGAACGTCTTCAAACAGCTGGGAAAGGAGATTCTTAGGCTTATATAAACCGATAAGCGTACTAATCTTTATTCAAAATTGAGAAGCCTGACGTAAGACACTAGCGTATAATTAATTAGATCTGAAAATGCTAGAATGTTTTCACAGTTTTCTTTATTTCAGTGCAGTTAAAGAAAAGAACACTTTTTCTAGTTTGGAATTGTATTTGGTAAGAATTTAACGGTAGTGACTGTAAAGAAGGATATGCGTGCATATGGGATGTTGCTTCCTGGCGATGTGGTCATTTCCATAAACGATATCATTGTTGAAGATCAGGATCAATTTTACATTGTAGGTCTATCACTTCATTACTGGTAACTTAGTTGAGCATGGTCAGGCTCATGAAAATGTTATCTCAGTTGATGGATGAATTATGTTTTCAGTCAATCGTTTTTCGTTTTCTCGACTTCTCTTAAACTCCTCTTAGCTTTTTCAATCTTTGCTTTGTCCTTTCTGTTTCAGCAACTAAGAAAGAAATACCACAACCTCTCTGTTGCAGCTGATAAAGCGTTTATTTCCAATGGTGAAAATAGAAGTGGAACGAAAACTCTGGAGAACACCGTTAACAGACGTTCGAGCTCGACAAATTGGACTTGTCGCAAAGAAAAATCACGAATACTTCATCGCTTACTTACATCGCATCGATGGGCTAAAACTTGGCCTATCTGTCCGGGTAAATGCGTACTTGGATGCGTTAACCTAAAAAAGGAGGAGCGAAAAGAGAGAGAGAGGAATTCATTTCTAAGATTTCTTTACTGTTGATGGAGAGATCCAGTGTTTCACGATTAACTCACAGGACCGACAAGCTGTACGCGATTCCTCTAAAACTGAAATGCTTATGTTTATTTTTTCACCACGATTTATTTCTTAATCCTTTTTTTTTCAAATCTAGACTTTTCTGTGTGAAACAGAATGTTTTCTTGAAAAAATTTGTTCATATTTTGCAGCAAGTACATAATCAAGTAGTAGTAACAAAATGTAAGGAAGACAGCATCGTGAGCAGATGCTACCAGGAAGGCGATCACATTCTCGATGTCGACGGCGTACGAGTAAAATTTTTACTTCCTCTCTCGTCCTTTTACTTCTTTCCTTATAAACTTGTCTTCTGATTTTGAAGCCTCCAGTACTGAGTTACGAGCCATCCGGAATTTTTTACTGATTGCGCAACTTTTGCTGGAGGCGGTGCTAAGCAGTCAGTGATTGAGTACCGCTTTTTGCTGCATGTCAGGTATCAGGGTGTTTTGGGCCTCATCTCGGATTTCGGTGCGCAAGCTTATTTCGACAGCAGTAACCATCCGCTCCGGCAAAACTTATGATGGCTTATTTTTTCATCCAGTATTTGCATTGGTATTCATTGTACGTAGGGCCTGGGATTTTGTTTTTACTGCTGGCCCAGGGGCACTGCCACTAGTTTTTCGTCGCAGTGATTCGCGGAGGCTTTTCCAAATAATGCCTTTAACTACCACAGATACTCTTTTCTGGCTAACAGTGCATACAATATTTTAGTTAGTTTTGTCAATATGTTAGCAACTAAAAGTATGTGCAATTTTTGCGCTTAGGAAGGTGCCGTTATGCTCCAAAACAGTCTCGTTTTCGGCTCTAGATAATAAAAACTGTCATCTAGCCATATTTCTTCACTATGCCAAAAATAAAAACAGTAGACGTCTTTTTTACATCATCATCCTAGATTCACTCTCTGTGAAAGACAAAGGCACTCGTTAGCATTCCGAGGGGCAATTAAATGCCAGCAGCAAATATCTGGCCAGGTGCGATGCCTCCTTTTTCGAGAGTTGCTTAGAAGCAAACTGATGGCAGGTTTGACCCTTTGGCACATGCCAGTATTAATTTCCCTTTGAAGCAAAAGAATTAATCGTGGAGGGTCATTTATTCTCCTGACGAAGTCGATCTACAGCAAAAGAGAACAAAGTTTATCACTAGCTTGCTATTTAGTTTCAATTTAATCCAGTGCGGTGCAGTTAAATCCTGAAGCGCAAATTTTTATCGAAACATAGTTTGCTAGCTAAGTAGTGAGACCTTGACTGGTACTTTTTTCGCACTACTGAATGCTGCAGGTGTTTTCGAAAGCGGATGCAAAGGAAAGAATAATTTCTGGATTGCGGAACACAGCATGCGTTTCCACCGTTGTTGAAAGAAAACAGTCTGAGGATGATAATTCCATGTACGCTTTTTTATTATATTGTAGCATGTTTGTTTACTTATAAGCTTAGAAGCGATTAGTATGTAGTTGTATATGCTTGTGTTGTATAATTGTATGATATTGATGTTTTCGTATCTATGCGCTATCGATCCGACTTTTTCAGCTTTTAAAAGTGAGTCTGGATTTCCAAATACTTGATGATTTTAATTTATCAAAGAGAGATTACAGAAAATTTATAATGTTATATGCATCAGTGAACTCTTGCGACCCGGGATCAAAGGGCCTGGCATACCCGGCATGTGGGGAGCGTCCCGGAAATAGCACCAACATAAGATTGCCACATAAATTGTTCAGAGGGTCGTGCAAAATTATACACGGTCATGATGAGTGCTGAATGGTATGCAAAATTGCAAAGAGAGTGTCAGAAGGAAATCACTGAGAGAAATGAGAATATTTGCCGGGACTAAAACCAGCAGCAGAAAGCCGATAATTTGAAAGACCGGAATGATATGATTACGCTCAGCTATCTGGCTTGCATATCGATTTTATGCCATAATCCTTGATGATTTCCGCAAAATAACATTTGCATTTTGCTGAACATCAAAGAATTGAAGAAGCAATCGAGTGCTACTTTTGGTCGGTGATCGAAATCCGAAGATGGCACCGGATGCGGTAAAAATTGGACAGCGTGAAGCAGCAAGAATACGTGCAAATGCCGGCAAACAATTCCCACTGAAAAGTATACTGCACGCATCTGCCTACAAACCAAGCAGTACTATACAAGTAAGTTTTTTTTTTCGTCGCTAGATTCAAATTCGTTGGTGACAGACAAAACGGGGGCCTGAAAAAGCTGCATTTCATGAGGGAAACATATAAAACTTATGTTTCTTGAATTAATTAGATCAAAACATTTAATCATATCAGGAATGCGCTGTTCATCAAATTATTGAATGTATCGAAAAGTGAGTTACTGTTTCGTGAGGTACCTCATTTTGGTCTAGAAGCGACAACACTAGCAAAGAAACGCTGGTGGTCAGAACATTTGGTTTAGATGTTTTCATTTCTGAATGAGCCGGTCTGCAGAGTTGCATTTTTGCAGTTAGATATGCGGCCACTGGTAATGCGAGTGGCCAGTGATACAAAGGAGCCAAGTCGTTTGGTGCATGTGAGAAGAAAAGAATCTGGTCGTGGATTTTTTAGTCTATTATTTGGCCGAAAAAGCGGCGGTCCTACCACTCACAGCGTCAGAAAGAGAGAATGATCCAAGTGAATAAAAAAGCATTTTGTTATCAAACAGACATGCCCATCAATTGTCAATTAATTTGATCGTCAATAATTAAACGGTTTTGTAATTTTGACCAGTGTTGCTTCACTCACTGACCTGTCTTGTACATGAACGCAGCAATCGGATTAATAGCGTTTTCAATAGCCACAGTCCAGAGGAGTGTTGGATTCGTCAGGAGTGGCTAAGGAGGATTAAATAATCAGCAGGAAGTCTAGAATCGCCGTAATTTTCGACTTTCTTGTTTGGCCCCTGTTGGCCTTTAAACTCTTACAAAAATTCCTAGTCTCCTAGGAAACTTGTATTGCAGCAAAAGATGGATTTCTGATGAATTCACGAATTTTTTGTAGCGGGACCTAAAGGATTAGATTGACCTAGGATTTAAAAATTGCAGCACCGAAAACATGTAGTTTGATCAGCTGTTGTTTCATCTTTACGCTCTTTCTCGCCGCTGATGCAGCAGATATCTATTTTGCTTTATTGTATTCTAAGTGCACTGCACTCACGTAAATTTTGAAGAAGCGCTTAACCTGGTCCTTCAGTCTCATCTTTCCTTCTTGTATCTTTGGAACAAGTATTATAAATATGTATTCAGATTTTCGTGCAACGATTTCTAGGATTCCAAAGAAAATTTTTATTTCTGTGAAGGAGGAAAATTTGGGCTGTTAGCTGTTTATTTATGCTTACTGAATGTATTCTGATGTTTACAAAGAAACATATTCTGTAAAAATTTGTCTCGGAACGGCATGTGATTTTTCAAATGTGTTCGTACATTCTATTCAAAAATAAAGGCTGTATATCCAACTGGAAGCAAGAGGTAGGTATTAGGAGAGCAAGGATGAAGAGGAAAAGAGGATCAGAGAAATTTAAATGTTTGTCGAGAAATGCCCGTTAAATAATATGAGTTATATATTTATCACTGTACAAATAGGTGCCGCAAGATATTGTAAAATTTACACGAATTTTTTCCATAGCTAGCAGAAATATAAGCTCTCGCAGGATATTTACTCTTTGCTTTGCTCCTCAGGTATTCCCAGTTTCATCTTTATCAGACCGACTGCTTCTGATTACTAACATGCAATTGTTATCTGTCCCAACATTGCGTCCGCGTTACCGCTGCACGCTGTGGACCTTTAATAGCTATTCCTGTACGCGAGTGCTATTCCTTCAAAAGAAGGTTAGGTAAAATGCAGGATACAAAAATGCATTATTTTACAAGGGTTCTAGTATCCATAAAAGTTAAATTTTGGCCAAGATCAGCCCAAAAGTCCTTACAGCATTTACTGTACACCTCCAGAACTATTGGTTAGCAGTATTCGAGGTTAAAGATGGCACAGTCCTTTGTTTTAGAGTTCCCAGTGCAGCTGAAATGCAGTCTGAAGCCGAACACAATTAAAATTTTTAATTACTCTTGCAAGTTTATCTTAGCATCACGAATTTGAGCAAAACATTGTGGCTTTTTGCAAAAGACGGACCTAATATTTTGCAACTTTAAATAAATAAAAATTTAAAAAGACATGCGATACTTTCTGGAATTATTTACTAAATTCGTCCTTTCTGTTTTAAAGATAAGGGATCAGGCAAAATTTTAGCTACTTTTCAATTTATTTCCAAGACCCACTGAGAAAGAAATTCAGAATTTCCTGGCGACCTGTTCGAATTCGGACTTTGCATTGCTTCAAGAGACTGCATTAGTGAAATTGCTCGAGTGGAATTAGGCTGTATTGCCAAACAGATTACTGAACCAACTGTATCCTGGATTAATTTATAAGTCCTTGTGCAGCTGAGGATCTAAAAGGTTTGGAAGGGAAATGAGAAGAGGCGGTGGAAAAGGATAGAGCCTCTGCGAATTGAATGCATGCGTAGTGACGTCTGTGCTAAATTACTTAAACTTCTTAATGCTCATTAGTACCTTGTTAGGTCATGCGTGAAAAGGGCGCCCATTACGCACCGATGTAAAAATAACCTGTTAAAGCGTGTTACTTCAGGATGTGAAAGGCTGGGATGGAAAAAAGACACATCTGTTGCTGGATGAATGCAGATATGATTATTACTAAAGGTTAGTACGATGACGGTGGTAAAGTAATTGAAGTGATGACTGTGATTCCAGAGATCCGTGGAATCCGGCTTACTTGACGGAATATCAACAGAAGAGTAAGAGAAAGTGTCAATTAACAAAATTGCTTCCCAAAATTACGATTTTTTGCAGTCTTACCACATGAAGCTGGGGATCAAAGAAGGGCGGAAACGCAGAAGAAGATAGCAGGACGGATTTGTAACTTCCTCGCTTCTCATTCACAGCGGCACAGCATGGAATTAGACATAATGTTTATTTCGTTTATTTCTAATAAGCCATCTGAAGGTATAAATACCTTAAATTTCACTGCGAATCACCTCTGTTCAGTAGTTGCTTGGACTGGCTCGCTGTATTAAGGTCGGCAACCACATACTGTGATTCTCACTGCTACTTGTGTTTTTTAAATACATTTCCTTGCATCACTGCAAGATTTTCTGTTTCTTCCTTTATATAATCATTTGTGACGCGCACCGGGCAGTCCCGTACGATCATGCGTTTTTGCAATATTTCGTGCTGTAATGAGATCGCTCGGAAACCCAGTAGCTAGAAAT